TTTAAAATCACATACAAGTTACAAAAATATAATATTTGTTTCTTTTTCTTTTTTGGCAATTCTGCCGAGGCTTTAAGAGACCTATTCTTATCTAAAAAAAATGTAAATCCTTTAACACTTATCTTCTCATAAAGTAAATATTTGAATAATTTGTAAAAGTTATATTCTAGATACTTCATTACTAGAGCATTGACCTGTCGTTTTTATGTTGGTCTCAGTTTGATCGGACGTTTCTTAAAAAAAAAGTAAAGCTGTTATGTATTTGTAAAGTATTTAAAAAAAATAAACAATACTCAAACTTAGATTTAAAAGACAACCTGGTAATGTTTCATCCGCAATTTCCATGTCTAAAAAATTGCATAGCTCTTGGTCGACGTAACTCGTCCCGGGGAATACTTTTTCTATGGTTTTACTGTTTTTACCAACCCAATCTATAAAAAATGAAATTGAAAAACTTAAAAGTGTTTACCTAGCCTTGTGCATAATTAATAAATTATTGGGAAAAGTTATAAAACAAATTTTCACACAAAAAATAGCAAGCATATACTTTTATTATGTCAAGATTGGATTTATTTAAAAATAAACCCTATGTTCCAATAATAAAAATCTATGTTTGTTTTCTTACTTACCTTTAACATCGGAAGGTGTGGGTTTTACTTCAAGGGCATTTTGTAATACATCAAACTGAGTCCCTACTCTCCAGCTATGAAGGGCGGCAGTTCGCAGAGCAAATCGGGCCACGTAAAACTTCAGGGTTGTCGTTGTTTTGTTTTTCATGTAGTTCTAAAAACTGTATAATCATACTGTTATAATTTTTTTTTTTTATATAATAGTACTATATGATATCAACCTAGATAAAAAATGTAGCACTTACACGAGCAAAACTATCTACATTCTCGTCTCCAAGACCACACGTTTCTGTTGCAATACTAATTCTAATCCTTGTCGGGCAAACACGGTCATTATTGAACTCTAAGTCAGCATCTAACAGTGCTTTTGATTTTCTGAAAGATGTGCTCATTCCGTTTGCAATTGCGGAATGAGCCTGACCTACTTGAAATGAAGAGAGGATGCTCTGGGGAACACCCAATTTTTGGATTAATACCACTTCTGTGATATTTTAGGTATTTAATTAGCTCATTTTTCAAAGTTTCATCCAAAAGTGTGACCTTGTTGCCATACAGCATACTCGTTTTATACAATTCGTTTTGGATGACCCAGCCATTTCGAAGTTCTTGGCTGGGAACCATTTTATCAACATCTCCAATAGATATTGAAATGAGATTCGAGGACCGTGTTGCATTGACTAGGCAGATCATTACCATAAGGTAATCGCGTATATCGAAGCACTCCGTTTTGGTGAGTTTCACATTGCCAGACAGTAACTTTCTCATTTTTTTAACATAATCTGATGAAAAGTATGTCTTAACTATCTCGGTTGTAAGTACGGTTGCTTGTTTAAAAATGCGAATGTTTTGGTCTCTTTTTATATAAAATATTGTGACCGAGTTATTAATTTCTTTTACCTTAGCTTTAACAATTTCAATGTCATCGATTGTTAGGCCGGCATAACAAGTCCGTGCAGGGTTAGGGTCAGTGTTTATCCGAAATAATCAGACAAAGTCTGTTTACTCGATATGCAAGCTGGACCTGTCAGCCTAAGGGAAGAAAAAAGGAAACAATTTATTCGATATAAGTAATAGATTTATGCAAAGTTTAGACAGGTGACAATAGAGAAGTTCAAAGAATAAGGATTACGGGGACAAGAAAGAATTGTAGGTTTTTTTTCATTTTTTATATAAGTTATCATTTATTTTTTAATTTATTTAAACTTATTGAGTGATCATAGTTTATTTAGATTTTAATTATTTAAAGTTATATTTTATTGTTTAAAGTTATACATTAATTATTTTAAATTTTTTGAGAGTTATATTTTGAAAGAAGTTTAGCAAAAATTTAGATTTTTTTTAGTGGATTGATATGATTGAAGTGAATTAATGAGGGGATCTAGGTATCTCTTCAGGGTATGCGTTGGTAGTGGCTTCCCAACAAATATAACACACGCTGATCCAATTCCAGCGAAGCAAACAAGCTAAATGATCTTTAACCCGTACTTAAAACGATGTCGGTAAGCCGTTGCAAGTTGAACTTCTTACTGCAAGATCTTAGCCGACACTTCACATAAGGAGCAGAGCATTATAAAAGCTGCTAAAACCACCACAAGACGAATAGCCAAGCGATAGCGAAGATGTAGGAGTATCGGTTCATGGTATTAGTAGCGGAGCAGACCAGATAAATGATCTTTAACCAGCTTCAATCAATGCTGGGTTAGCAATAGCCCTCACAGTCAGTTGATCTACTCGCGGAAAGATCTTAATCGGCACTTCGCATAAAGATCAGAGCGTTAGAAGAGCAGCAGAATACTTCCTCAAGATAAATCACCATAGCGATAGACCAGATGTTGAGTGCTACGAGTGATAATTAGTGTTGATTACGGAGGTAGAAAGATGTAAGGGTTTTTATTAATGAATTAGTGTGGTTAAGCAAGCCAAAAAAGGAAGAAAAGGCAAAAGATCTAAGTATCGATTCAGGGTATCGGTTGGTAGTGGCTTCCCAACTATTCAAACACACACTGATCCAATTCCAGCGAAGCAAACAAGATAAATGATCTTTAACCCGTACTGAAAAACGATGTCGGGTAAGCCGTTGCAAGTTGAACTTCTTACGGCGAGACCTTAAACGACACTTCACATAAGGAGCAGAGCATTAGAAAAGTAGCTAAAACCACCCAAATACGAATAACCAAGCGATAGCATAGAAGTAGGAGTATCGATTCATGGTATTAGTAGAGAGTGGACTTCGTAACTATTCAAACGGTACTAATCCAATTCCAGCGAAGCAATTAATCTAAATGATCTTTAGCCAGCTTCAATCATTGCTGGGTCAGCAGTTGCCCCATTAGTCAGTTGATTTACTTGCGGCTAGATCTTAACTGACACTTAACATTAGGAGCAGAGCGTTGGAAAAGCAGCAGAGTGCCACCTTAAGATAAATCACCATAGCGATACACCAGATATTAGGTGTTGAGGATGTAGATTGGTGTTGATGAGGAGGTCAATATGAGAGTTTTTTTTCCAAGAAATTTTTTTACTATTCCGGTTCAGTTTATGGGTGGGGCATATAAAAATTATTAAAGTTATACTGCGTTATTTTATTATATTAAAAATCTTTTAATATATATATTTTTATTTAATTGATTTTTAATTAAAACTATTTTAATATATATTATTATTGCTATTTAGTTAATTGTTTTTTCAAAAAATTGGTAATGTTATGTTTAAATTTATAAAACATTTTAGATTAGTTAGAAATTAAATACATTTAATAGAAGGAAGGTCATGTGAAATGATTCAGGTACAAATGTAAGAAATGTATAAATGGCATGGGTTGATTGAGGCTAACTGAGTAAATGTATGTGCGTTTTTATCTCCCTTTGAGAGTATATTGAGAAGCTCAAATGGTATTAAAATTGTATATTGAGAAGCTCAAATGGTATTAAAATTGTTGAGATATTAAAATTGTTGAGAATGAGTAGATGAATGGTGTTAAAATGAAAAAAGTAGAATGAAGAAAATAACGACGACTGCGGGAAACGAACCCGGGTCTACTCGGCGAAACATCATGACTTATCTGAATGAGCTAAACGATCTTACACTTCCTGGAAATTTATGTTTATATTTTTTTTAAATTAACAAGCTATAATAAGTGAACTTGATAGTAGAGATATGAATGCATATATAGAAATATGTATGATATATAGGGTCAACAAATGGTTATATCAACCTGTAATTGTGTGAGAAAGATATGCGCAAGTGGATATAATAATAAGTGGATTTAAATAAGATATGCGCAAGATATGCGCAAGTTAAAAAAGGACATGCGCAGTGGAAATCTAAAGCTATGACTTAGAAGAGAAGGTATAAATAGTTATGGGCGCTGTGTGCTTTGACTGACTAGAAGCAGGGTGTACAAACGTAATGGAGTGTCTATACATCGGCTCAATAAAATAGGGATAGGCGCAGCGGAGTGTTGCTATATCGACTGACTTAAATAGGAATTGGCGCAGCTGAGTGTGCATACATCGACTGACTTATATAGGAATTGGCACAGCGGAGTTTGCATACATCGACTGACTTATATAGGAATTGGCGCAATGGAGCTTACTCGCAAGTGCAAAGGGTTTTGGTTAGGGTAGGCAATCTTTAAAACCCTAACCCTAACCCTCGTCTCTCCACACTTAAAATAAAACAGTTTAAGCATCATAGTTTTCTTGATAGTAAAGTTTAAAGCAGATTTAACATTTACGACAATTAAACTTACTTTCTCTTGTTATTTCACCTGTCATAATAAGTCTTTCCCCGACCAATGCCACAGCCAAAATTGTGGAACGACTATTCTTCTTACTTCTAGTTTTGTAGAAGTCGTCTACTTGAGGTTTATTGTACACTAATGAAGATAGAAAAAAATATATATATATTTTATTTTTATTATGTTATATCAACTAAACTTGTTTGTATGCATTTTAAGTTTTATAAAGTTATAGTTATGTAAAATAACCTCTTATAATATCCTCTCTTTCCTTTCGTAAAGTGAGAAAACTTGATTTTTCATCATCTTTATTTTCATTGTCAATGGTATCACTATGAACTGTAATAAACATGAGTTAGTTATAACCAAATTAACAAAACTATTATGTAAATCAATAATTAAGAAAAAAAATTAGGTAATGTACCTTCATCTTGGTCAGAAATGCTTTCACTTTCACCTAAAATCATCATGTTATATTTAGATATATGTTATTCAGATAGGCATTTGTTATTAAAAAATATTGTATTTACATTCTGACACAAATGAAGCACTATTTCTACCAACCACTTTTACATCATTAACTTCTTCATCTAAAAATATTTACTATGTTTATTTACATTAATCTTGGACAGCTTTTTTTAATACAGAATTGCAGTTTATTGTACAGATGTAAATATGTTCAATTTGTACCATTCAACTCTATATGATGTGAAGATTTTTGAAAGTCTACATCATCTAAAACAAAAACAGTTTTTAAAATTATTTACAATTGCAAAATTTGAAACTTTTATAATAAAAAATGTAAGTAAAACAAGTCAGGAAACAATATATTTAATTAAAAATACCTTCACTATCATTATCCTCAATGACAGGGAGCTTTCTCTTTTTTGGCAAAACTGCCAAGGCTTTAAGAGACCCAATCTTATCTAAAAAAACGACGAGGTTAAAAAATTTGATATTTTTATATTAAAAATAAAAGTAAAACAAGTCAGTAAACAATATATTCAAATAAAAATACCTTGACTATCAACCTGCAGTCCACGTTTTCCACTTTTCTTTTCCGCCAAATCAGGTCAGGAACATAGTGAACTAATCTTATCTAAAAAAAAAATGTAAATGGTATAACACTAATCTTCTCATAAAGTAAATGTTTGAATGATTTTTTAAAGTTTTATACCAAATACTCTACCACTTGAGCATTGAATTGTTAACTTTTCTTCATTATTTGTTTGAAGGGAAACTTCTTAAAAAAATTAAAAGCTGTTAGAAAATTATTTCAAAACAAGAATAAAAAAGTTTATTTACTTAGAATTAAAGAAAGACCTGCTACAGTTTCATCTGCTATTTCGTTGACTAAGAAGTTGCAAAGTTCTTAATCAACATAGGGATTACCAGGGAATTCTTTTTTTCTATGGTTTTGGATTTGTTGCCAACCCAATCTATGCAAAATCAAATCAAAAAATTCAAAAATATTTGCCTAGCGATATGCATAATTGAACAAAATAATAGGATTAGTTATTAATCCAATTTTTACACAAAAAACAAACAAGCATATATTTTTATTATGTAAACTTGGGATTTATGTAAAAAATAAACCACATGTTTGAACAATAAAAACATATCTTTGTTTTCTACTTACCTTTAACATCGGAAGGTGTGGGTCTGACCTCCAACGCATTTTGCAATACTTCAAATTGAGTGCTCACTCTCCAACTATGTAGGGCAGCAGTTCTTAGGGCGAAACATGCAACGTAAAATTTTAGCGTGGTGGTTGTTTTGTTTTTCATGTAGTTCTGTAAATTGCATGATCATATTGTAATAAGTAAATTTTTCATATAATATTATTAACTTAAATAAAATATATACTTACACGAGCAAAACTGTCGACATTCTCGTCGCCTAGACCGCACATTTCGGTGGCAATAGTAATTCTAATCCTTGTCGGACAGACGCAATCGTTATTAAACTCACTGTCAACATCCAGGAGTGCTTAAGATTTTCTGAAAGATGTGCTCATCCCGTTAGGGATGAGCACATCTCATTCTTATTTGATTAATATTACTAAGAAATTTTTATAGTAAAAAATATTTTTGTAGATTTTTTTAATCCGAAACATCTTTTTTTCTACGGAGAATCTGTATCATGTTTGTATGATTAATTTACATGTAATTAAATATTTTTTTAATATATAATAATATTTCATTATATACTTGTTATATAATATTTTATATTTTTTTTGTGCCGTTTAATGATCAAATTTGCTGTATTTGTATGTTTCCATATGTACTTCTGCGTCTTTGTTGCGCAAGAACATGTGGAATAGCAACCATTGGGCCGTGTGTTAAATGTTGCCTGTGTTTAACTGAAAAACTGAAAAAAATATATATATATATATATAAAATATTATTTAAACTGGCTAAAGACGTCAAATATGATATAATGATAAAAACATTAAAATTGTTTTGTAAATAATTTTAATTTGTAAATAAAATCTATTTTGTTTAAAAGTCTTATTAATAAAAAAACAGTTCTTTAGTTTTTACTGGCTTCTTCATATGAAGGCGGCGCGTATAAAAGTAATTCGTGATTATAAAAACATTCCTTTTTAAAAGTAGACGGCGTGTATGTAGGTATATCGTTATTATTAAAACACTCTTCGTCAAATTCAATAAATTGGTACTTTACATAAAGTTCAATTCTGCATATTAATGATAGAATTGGTAGAAACAGTGTCATTTTACTTTTAAAGGAAACGTAAACATTTCTGTTTAAATTTATTTCTATTTTTTGCTTGCCTTTTAAAATTATGAAAGGTGTTCGAATATAATTTAACAAGTCTAATCCAAATATAATTCCGCAATACCATTTGAAGTTTCTAACAAATATTTCAATTGTTTTATGTTATTTGTAGTTAAATCGTTTGATAATTGTAAATAAATGCAAAAATTATTAGACATGTTGTTATGTTGAAAAACACAACAAACAACTATATATATATATATATATATATATATATATATATATATATATATATATATATATATATTATATATATATATATATATATATATATATATATATATATATATATATATATATATATAAATATATAAATATATATATATATATATATATATATATATATATATATATATATATATATATATATATATATTTTTTTATATATATATATATATATGTATTTTGATAAAAAAATATAATGTAAAATACCGCGTTATTAATATATTAGAAAAATAAGGTATGGATAGAATCTTAAGAAATAAAGATGAAAATGAAAGTTTTTCTTTTAGAGGGGGCAGTGTAAATAATAATGCTTCTTATATAAATGTTACCTCGTCAGGGGTAGGATCAGGGTTAGGGTTAGGGTTAGATTAAACTGTAGGTTTATCAATGCATTCAACTAATAAAAATAAATTATTATTTTTTAATTTGCTAAGCGAGTTAAATAATATTAATTTGGAATCCAAGTTTCTTGTTTTAATCATAGTCACAAGAATAGATAGTCTGGAAACACGGGCCGTATCAATTGATTTTGAACTTTTATGTAAAAATTGTACTTTCGGCCCGCTGAAAGTGCAAAACAAACATTAAAGTGAATCATGGAAAGTGGAGATTTGCAAGTTCTTTTGAGTTTGATAGAAACAGATCAGTTTGAAAGCGATTCATTTTATCAAGAAATCGAAATAGCAGCTTTAGAAGAATGTAAAGAGACTTTAAGTTGTAGTGATTGCTCGAAGGTATTCAAAACAACTAGTGGTCTGAAAAGGCATATAAACTCTAAGCACAAAGAACTTGTGCCTACTGACAACCTTGTCGAGGTTGTCGGTAGTATATCAGTTGATTTAAATAAAAATATACAATTATGTATTCAAAGTACACAATTCAAAGATCTATTGAATAACGCAAGACATAAACTGTCAACAGATGATTGTTTTTGTAATGAAGATCGAGAATGTTTTAAAAACATGGTTGTCACTGAATCTGAGTATTTTCAAGTTGAATCTTTTTTTTTAAAAGAAATGCATGAATTTAAAGGCAATGCCGAAAAATTTTATTGTTCACTCCACCCTAAGTATACAACTGAGTCAGTTGCGATAAAAACAATACCAAAGGAACTATATTATTTATTGTTAGCAGAATTAATAACATTATGTCTAAATTTTTTGATTACAAAAGAATTTAAACTTATTGGTGAAGATTCGAATCTAGAATTAAATCTCTCTGAAAAAGACATAAGATGCTTAGAATATATTGCAGGTTATGTATTTCAAAAACTGTACTCTAAGTTGAGAAATAAAAAAATTAACGATGGTGCAATGTCTGGACAATGGCTTGATATTATACTTTCATCAAAAACTCAAGAGGAACAAAAACTTGTAGATAGTAGAGATAGAGGTGGATTGTGGAAAATGAATACACTAGAAATAAATATTTTTAGTGAATGTGAAAAAAAATTTAGAAAACATACTAGCGTAAATTTTGGAAAAATTGACAGTAAAGTATTGGTTTCACAATTATTTAATAACTGTTTTGTCAAGTCCTGCTTTTATCAAATATGTGACCTTCCTGAAACAGAAATAGACAAAGAAGTTGCAAAAACTTTATTATATCATATAGTGATGCTTTTTATTCGTGTTCGTTCACATTCACACACAAAGCAAATAAAAGAAAAATTCAAAAACAAAAAAAAAATAACAAAAGCAGAATCTTTACGATCATCATTAAAAAAAATCAAATAAGATCAAGAAAAATATTTGCGATAGCTGAGATTTACAATCATATTTCCTCTCATCCGTATTTTATCAATCTATGCAGATGTATAGAAAAACCATATTTATAAGAGTATTATAGTTCCAGTTTATAATACTTATCAAACAGCTATTTTCATAGCTACAAATTAAAATAATTACATTATTGGTTAGAACAAATACTTTTATTAATTTATTATTTTAACCAACTTATTTATTTTAATCAAATGTTGTGTTTTTTCTCTTTACAAAATAATGTATGATATTCTTCAAAATTTTAAAAGTATAGGCTTTATCAGCAATCAGAGTTAAATTATAATAGGTTTAGGTTAAATTTGATTTTTAAATAAACTAACAGTAATTTTGGGGAAGACGAATAATATCTACTGATAAACTAATTAATAAAATGTTTTATGAAATAAGGTTTTCCAAAAAAAAAGATCATAATTCAATTAAGTTAATTTATTTTTTCTAAGTTTCTTGGGAACCGGTGTATCATCAATTACCCATTCATTAGTATGCTGCCTAACATTTCCACCAAGGGGTTGAATTGTAAATTGAGATTTTATGATATTATCATTGTATCCAGTGTCTTTAAGGTTAGGATTATCCCTACTGCAACCTATAGTTCTCTGCTTACCAAAGTAGTTCTCCAATGCGTCTTGACAAAATATTTCAGTTAATACGTATAAAAATCCTTTGCTTAGTAAGTATTGAACGCATTCAACTAAGGAGTTTACCGTTCTAGATAGACCTTCAAATGTCTGATTTGATATGAACATTTTATTAAGTTCTTTTTTCGAAAATTTTTCTGGCCTTTTTTCTATGCTTTCCCTCCAGTCTACAAAATATTTTAGAAAAGTGTTTTTTAACCAGTAAAACCTTTCATCTGAACAATCGGTATAAGGTTTCAAAAATACTTTACGATTTTTGAGGTACTCTTAAGTGTTTGTGACATTGCAGCAATCAAAAAATTTATCCATTAACAGACAGAAATTTGCTGTCTCAGAAGCTTTATCTGGCCCAAATTCAAGCAATGTATTGCCAACTGTAGCACTTAAAATTTGAACTGCTAATTTTACGTTCATAATAGAGTATGCATTTAATACTATATGGTCTCGAGTAAGTTTAGGAAAATAATTTAAATTACATTCCATATCTTCATAGTAAAACTTAGCAATATGACTCCAGAGAAGATATTTTCCATTATTCCACATATATCTTGAACAACGGATAGATCCAGAGTTGCTCAAACAGTTTCTTGATGTTTTGATAAGATGAGGAGGATCAGAAAAAAACCATATTTTTTTTT